GCCTTCCTTAATATCATGCTTAAGCCGTTTCTTCAGCTTTTTGTCTACAAAATTCCTGAATTCTCTCTCATCCTCGTCCTCCTCATGCCGCTTTTTCGCTTCCAAGTCTGCAAATTCGTTAGGGCCTCCTTCGTCCGCATGTCTTTTCAGCCGTTTTTTCGTTTTCACGCTTGCAAATCCACCAGATTCTCCTTCGTTATTAGCCTTTTTCAATTTAACTTCTGCAAACTCGTTCGAATCTCCTCCAAAATCACCTTGTTTAAGACGTTTTTTCAATTTTACACGTTCGAGCTTGCTAGGTTTGGGTTCTTTATCACCACGTTTAGGCCGTTTCTTCTTTTTCGTACCTGTAAATTTGCCGGATTCGTCCTTGTTATCCTCATGACTAAACGGATTTTTCGTCGCCATTTCCGAAAAGTTGTTCGATTCTTCTTCATTATCATCTTGACTGGATCGTCCCTGCATCTTCACCTCAGCAAATATGCTGGATCTGCCTTTGTCATCACCAGAACTACAGCGTTTCTTCGAAGATATGTCTGAAAACCAGCTGCATTTAGCTTCCTTATTATCCTGCTTAGGTCATTTTTCTAATATTAATAAAATTAATGATAACAACAGTACCAATAGTAACGACAACAATGATAATAATAACAATAATAATAATAATGGTAGTAAAAATGGTGATGATAATAGTAACAATAATAGTAATGGCAATAGTAACAGTAGTAGTAATGATAACAGTAGTGATAGTAATAGTAATACTAACAGTAATAATATGATAGTGATAATAGTAGTAATAATAATGATGATAATAATAGCAATAATAATAGTGGTAATAATAGCAGCAGTGATAATAGTAATGATAATAATAATAATAGTAACAAGATAATAATAATGAAAATAACGATAATTATAATAATGACAAGTAGCATCAACAATAATTCATTATTTTTTATAAAATTACCGGATTCGCATTCATTAATCTCCTCACAAAGCAGTTTCTTCGTTGTCATGTCTGCCGATTTGTCATGTTCGCCTTTCCTGACCTTTTGTTTGGGCCGATTTTTCACCTTCATGCCGGATTCGCTTCCACCATTACCAAGGATATTTCGAAATGGCTGGAACTTTGCCAAGTAGCTCACTCGAGAGAACTACTGAGTTGGTAACTCCTTCAGGAAACGAACTCAGCATCAAGCCGCCAGCATGCTGATCACTCGACGATGCACCGCTAGGCAAAAGCGAACTGGACACCACGACTACGAACTACGGCTGATGCGAGAAACCCAATTCAAGTTCCTAGGACCTAATTTTATCTAAGTAACCTGGGGCACAGCAAAAAATCACCCCAAGATTAATCCTACTGGTCCTCGAGATAATAATTTTCTCCGCCAAAACTTTCACGAGTACCCGGAGGTACCTATGTTAGGTTCCCAGGGCTTAATTTTACTTAAGTAACCTGGAGCTCAGCAAAATATCACCCTAGGATTAATCCTACTGGTCCCCGAGATAGTAATTTTCCCCGTCAAAACTTTCACGAGTACCCGGACTTGTACATGAAGGCTGAATTTAAATTTGCGGGGCCGCACGTGGCGAGGGAGGGGAACATTCGTGGGTGCATACCTTTGAAAAACCGCTGAGCTGGGTAATGTTTGCGGGAGACAAAACGAACGTTAGGATCATCAGCGAACACTGACCACTGGTCAACGTAGCACTGGTCAGAGTAATCGCAGGAAGTGTATAGTTGCGCAGTGCGTGTACTAGTGTAGCTGATTCAAATATTCCGGGTAAGTCAGATGCTCAGGTATTATTACTCAAAATTTACTTCCCGAAATTTACTACTACCCAAAACTTACTACCCACGAAATTTACTACCCAAAATTTGCTACCCGAAATTTATTACCCAAAATTCAGTACCCGAAATTTGCTTCTCAAAATTTCCTTCCCAAAATTCGCTCCCGCACTTAAAAACCTCGAAAGTACTATGGCTCATAAAGGGAGGGGGGAGGGCACTGTAATAAGCAAGGAAGAGAGAAAAATTAAAAACACGACGAAAAACGAGAAATCCAAAAAATCTCACTTATGCGCCACCGAGAAGCATAAGAGGTGTTTTCCGATTTCCACTATGCAAAACATCCAAAGCGAAATAGCGTGGAAACTATAGGGGGGGGTTGCACACGACGAAGGTGATGCGAAGGAAAACGCACACGCAAACCCCCAAAAATTTGGGATACTGTAAAAGTTGGGGTACTGT